GGAGGAAACGAAGATAGGGAGAGAGTGGGAAGGAGAGGTTGTACGTATGAAGGGAAAATTCCTGATATGAAAGGCTTAACAATGATTTACAATTATAGATAATATTTTTTAGGGTGATTTATTGTTAGTGCCTAACACCTGTCATAATACATGCCAGCTAAACAGAGAATTGTGTATTATATCAGTTTGTGTTGCTTTATGTTTCATAAATTTAAAAATTTGTAGACATTACTTAAGAGAGGTTCTTTCATTTGATAATCTTAGCCCACATTTCTTTTTGATTGCTAAGAACCTTTACCAGTGTAGTGTGTGTGTGTGTGTGTGTGTGCGCGCGCACACATGTGTGTGCATGCAGATTAATAACATGAGAAAACATTACTTTGTCCCTGGACCTGTGGGGGAATCTGAGCGGATGGTAGAGATGCTCCTTCTTTTGCTGTAAATTTTTTGACTATAAGTTGAATCATACTTCTCCTGTAGTCTCAATAGGTGCTCCGATCTTTTGATACCCTTTACCCATTATGTGAATGTAGAACTTGATTTCTAATAAACTAATGGAATAACTTTGGCAGGATTTTTTTTAAGGTGAGCTTTTAATTTTTTTTTTCTCAACAAGAATATTTTTTACTTGAAGCATACTTCAGAATATGTGGTTCTAAAAGATATATATAAAACATTCCATCCAAAAAAAATAGAATACTCATTTTCTTCAGGTATACACAGAAGAATCCCCTGGCTAAATCACATAAAAAGAGACATAACAAATATTACAAGTTTAAGAAATCATACCAACTATATTTTCCAGCCACAGTGGTACAAAACTGAAGATCAACAATAAAAGATGAAAAATATACAGCGTAAATATTAAATATTTAATATGTAAATATTAACACACTACTGTACAAGCAATGGGCCAAATATGAAATCAAATGGCAAATCAAAATATGACTCAAAACAAAAGAAAAAGAAAACACAATATTCCAAAACCTATCCAGTGCAGCAAAAGCAGATGTTAAGAGTGAAATTTATGCTATAAATGCTTGTATTAAGAAAAAAGTTCAAATAAACAACATTACACCACAAGGAACTAGAAAAAAAGAAACTTAGCTGAAATTTAGTAGAGGAAGGAAATTAAAAAAAAAACAGAAATTTTAAGTAAAATAGAGACCAGAATAAACAATAACATAACATTGAAAGTAATGACCAGTTTTTCCAAGAAAATAAAATTGGCAATGCTTTAACTACGTTAACTAAGAAAAAAAAGAAGACTCAAACACCAAAATGAGAAATAGAAAAAAATACAGCAGATAACCACAGAAATAGTGTGATAACAGATTACTATAAACAATTTTATACCAACACATCAATTAACTTAGAAAAAACCCCCAGATAATTCCTAAAAATGCACAGGTTACTAAGATTCACTCATGAATCTTAAATCCAAGAAGTAGGAAATCCTTTTAGACTAATAACAAGAATGAATTGAATTAGGAATCAAAAATCTTCCAGCACAATCTTTATGAAAATCTTACAAGTAATGGAATAGAGGGAACACATTCAGAATTATTCCATGAGGCCAATGCTACCCTGATACCAAAGCAGGATAAAAATAATACAAGAACAGGGGTGCCTGGGTGGCTCTGTCAGTTGGATGTCTGACTCTTGATTTTGGCTCGGGTTATGATCTCAGGGTGGTGAGATCTGGCCTTGTGCTGGGCTCCATGCTCAGCAGGGAGTCTGCTTGAGAGTGTCTCCCTTCCTCTCCCTCTGCTCCTCCCCCTGCTTGTGCATGATCTCTCCCTAAAATAAATAAAATCTTAAAAAATAAAATAATATGGGGTGCCTGGGTGGCTCAGTTGGTTAAGCATCTGCTTTTGAGTCAGGTCATGATCCCAGGATCCTGGGATCAAGCCCTGCATCCGGCTCCCTGCTCAACAGGGAGCCTGCTTCTCCCTCTCCCTCTGCCTCCTGTGTCCCCTGCTTGTGGTCGCTCTCTCTCTCTTTCTTAAATAAATAAAATCTTTAAAAAAAAAAAATACAAAAACAAAAACAGTACAAGAACAAAAAAGTTTAGTTTGTCCAATATAAGTATTGCTACTCTTTCTTTTAACATCCATTTGCATAATAATTATTTCTCCACCCTGTCACTTTCAGTCTTCAGGTGTCTTTAGGTCTAAAATGAGTCTTTTCTAGGCATCATATGGATGGATCTTGTTTTTTTATCCATTCTGACACCCTGTGCTTCTTGATTTAGCTAGCATTTAGCATTTAGTTCATTTACATTCAGAGTAATTATTGATAGATTATGTATTTATTGCCACTTTATTACTTGTTTTGTCATTGTTTCTGGAGATTTTCTCTGATCCTTTCTTGTCTTTGTCACTTTTGGTCTCTCCTTGGCACTCAAAAAGTCTCCTTTAATATTTCTTGCAGGGCTGGTTTAGTGGTCATGAACTCCTTTGGTTTGGTTTGTCTGGGAGACTCTTATCTCTCCATTTATTTTGAATGATAGCCTTGCTGGATAGAGTGTTCTTGGCTGCAGATTTTTCCCGTTCAGCACTTTGAGAATATCATGCCCCTTTCTTCTGGCTTGCCAAGTTTCTGTTGAGAAATCTGCAGCTACCCTTATGGGTTGTCCCTTGTGAGTTAAGGATTTATTTTGTCTCATTGCTTTCAAGATTTTTCCCTTACCACAGTATTTTGCAAATTTAGTTACAATATGGCTTGGTGTTGGCCTGCTTTTGTTGATTTTGATAGGAGCTCTCTGTGCCTCCTGATCTGGATGTCTGTTTCCTTCCCCACATTAGGAAAGTTTTCTGCTGTTACTGCTTGAAATAAATTTTCTGCCCCCTTTTTCTATCTTCTTCTTCTTGGGCTCGTATAATATGAATGTTATTACATTTGATGGAGTCACTGAGTTCCCTTAGTTTGTTCTTGTGTTGCATAATTCTTTCTGTCTTTGTTCAGCTTCATTATTTTCCATTATTTTGTCTTCTAGATCACTCATTCATTCCTCTGCCTTTTTTAGCCTGCTAGTCATTGCATCAAGCCTATTTGAAATCTTGTTTATTGTATTCTTCATTTCTGATTAATTCTTTTTTAACTCCTTTATCTCTGTTGTAAGGGATAGAATGTCTTCTTTTCTCAAGCCCAGAGGGTATCCTTATGATTGTTGCTTTAAATTCTCCATCAGGCATGTTCCTTATATCTTTTTTGCTTAGCTCTCTGGCTGTGGCTTTATCTTGTTCTTTCATTTGGGATAAATTCCTCCATCTTGGTATTTTGTCTAAGTTCTTGCCTTCTTTTGTGTGTTAGAAAAGCCCGCTATGTCTCCTCCTCCTGAAAGTAATGGCCTTATGAAGAAGAGGTCATGTAGTGCCCAGGGTCCCAGGGTCTGACATTTCAGGGAGTGTCTCCCATGTGTGCTGTGTGCCCTGTGCTGTTGTGTTTAGGCAGCTCTGTCCTTTAGGCCAGTCATCCACAGAGGCTCTCCTTTGTTGTGGGCAATGTTTGGTTCCTGGCCTGACTGTGGCGAGTTTTAACTATGTGTGCTCTGGTTTGCTTGTGAAATGACCCTGATACCAACTCCACCAGAACAGAGGCCCTGTAGAACTCTCTGTCTGGGACATGTGCTGTGGGCAGGGGTTTCTGCTGGTCTTCTGGGGGAGGGGCCTGTCCCAGTGGGACTGAAGCAAGCTTGACTGAGAAGGGCAGTACCATCAGAGCACAGGTGTGTGGGACTTGGTGTAAGCAAGTTAGGCAGCCATTGCCCATGCTGAGCTGCTTCCCTCAAGATTTTATTTTATTTTTTAAGAGATGGGAAGCAGGTCTTATGTATCTTCTGTTCTCATTTGGGTAAGAGGGTATTTGCATTTTAATTAATGCAACTGATTTTATATATAATAAGCATTTCAAGTGGCACTTAGTATTTTTTTTTAAAGATTTATTTATTTGAGAGAGCGTGTGCGTGGTGGGGAGGGGCAGGAGGAAAGGATCTTCAAGCAGACTTCCCACTGAGAGTGGATCCTGATGCGGGGCTCAATCTCACGACCCATGAGATTATGACCTGAGCCAAAACCAAGAGTGGGACACTTAACCAACTGACCCACGCAGGTGCCCTGTCACTTAGTAGTTTTTTGAAAAGGTTTACCCCTCCAATGTTTATGAAAGTAGCTTTTTAATTTTGTTTAAGAAAAAAAATCAGCCTCTTCAGAAATCTTTTATTTGAACTTACCAACCTATAAGTTAAATTTCTTTTGTCTTTCTTTTGCATGCAGTTTCTACTTTCAACAGATAGAAATTGTAATGGAATTCTAGGCAGTGTTTCCCATCGCCATCATGCGTACCCTTTCTTAGTGTGTCTGAATGGTCCCAGTTTACTCCAGGGATTTCAAAATGTATTCTAATTTTTTTAAAATTACAGAGTATTCATCCCTGAAGGCTATGTAAGTTACTATTATAAGGTGAGAAAGGTGCTATTTTATTAAGTCTACTTTGCAGCTCTTGAGGTGTGGTGGACATTTTAGTGAAAAATAGGTCGATGGAGATCTAGATTGCCCCTGGCTGTTTAGACTTCTCCCGTGCTCCCAGGTGTGTGGGGTGCCAGAGGCAAAATGGGAGACTAGGACAGTTGTATGTAAACAAATAAATTATAAAACAGACTTTCTGTAGTTATCCAACAATGGAAATGAGACAGAACCCTAAGACATTCCTAGGCAGAGAATCTGAATTCCTGTATTATGTAAACCATTCCTATGAAAAAGGGGTTTTATTTTTCTGTTTCCTTTTGATTTTAGACAGTTATTTGTTTCTTTATTTTCTGCCGAGTCTTATTACTAAAATTCTAGATTGCTCATAGAAGTCATTTCATCCATCACTGAATTATTCTCCAAAACAGCTACTTTTTAAGTGGCATATAAGGGTGTTTAAATGCTAATAAGACAAGAAGGATGTTTAGCACTGCTTTTCCTTAACTGTTCTTGGTTTCCTTTTATTTCTAGGATGTGGGGAGCATCTTGTACGTACCATACTGGCTAGAGAATGTTCACACGCTTTACAAGCTGAAGATGCTCACCAAGCACTGTTGGAGACTATGCAAAACAAGTTTATCAGTAAGTATAACATTAAAAAATTATGTTCTTCTAAATATAGATTGATTCACTGAGCTGTAAACCAGTCAGATACCATATTTGTGCCAAAAGGCCTAGCTCCAGGGCCTAGCATAGACTTATACCTCCAATTAATATCGGTCATGAAAAGAATTACATGAGATACGTACTAATGCATGAAATTTGCCATAAAACTAATACCCAAGCTGTGAGACATTATCTAGGATTAAAGTGATATATATATATAGTAGCATAAAATTCTACTAAAACAAAATTCAAGAGATAACATCCTTTAAAAGTTTTTTTATAATATACTTTGACTCTTCTTTTAGTCAGTGATATATTAATGAGTCCAGTGCTGCCATGTACAGTTGTCTAGGGTTGAGTTGAAATCCTGCCTGGGCTCCATTTGCGAAGCTGTGAGGCTGCATCAGTTTGGAGGAAGGGGTGTCTTCAAATCTGTAGAAAGATTTTATATTGCCTCGCACAGGTCCTATCCATAACTGTTACACAGGGTTAAAACTATTTGATTTAGTCTGCTTTTCCCATCATGTAACATTGAGCTTGCCACTATGTGAAGAGTAGTGAAGCTGTATAAGACATATATAGTTAAAAATAAGTTATGGTAATAGCCATGAATAAATTAGAAAAGTGTATTACAGGGTTAATCTGGGAGGTGGTATCTCTAGTTGGACAATTAAGACAGGGTATAATAGAATGCCAATTATGTGATGAGGACAATGCAGACAAAAGTGTAGGAAGAAATTGTTCCCCAAAGAACTAATGGGTGGGGGCTCTTAGAACTGGCCCCAGGCTCTGGGATAAGTGGGAAAAGAGGGAGAAGAGAGGAGTATAAACAGACAAGACAGTCGGATGCGGTATCAGGAGAGCTAGATTCCTATATGACTCTTACCTGGCAGGAAGTGTTCCTTATGTGCAGTGGCGCTGGGGAGGCCAGGTCACAGAAGGCCTTAAAATCTCAACATAAAAAGATAGCAGGAGGGGAAGAATGAAGAGGGGGGGATTCGGAAGGGGAGATCAACCATGAGAGACGATGGACTCTGAAAAACAAACTGAGGGTTCTAGGGGGGAGGAGGGTGGGAGGATGGGTTAGCCTGGTGATGGGTATTAAAGAGGGCACATTCTGCGTGGAGCACTGGGTGTTATGCACAAACAATAAATCATGGAACACTATATCAAAAACTAATGATGTAATGTATGGTGATTAACATAACATAACAATAATGAAAAAAGAAAAATAAATAAAATCTTAAAAAATCTCAACATAAGAGTTCATATTTGATCTGATAGGAAGGAGAGAACCCTTATGTGTTTCTAAGTTGACAAATAAAATGGTATTTTGGGGGAGGGTTTATAAAATAGATCTAAGGTTGTCCAAGAACATCTCTATAGGAAAGAGACATGAGGGGCTGGGAATGGTCCAAGGGATGGAGAGGAAATGGAGAAAGTAGAAATATTGGTAGACTCAGATTTTGAGACTAGGTGGATGTAGCCCTCTGGGTCCAATCAGGAGATAGAAACTATACATTGGGGACGCCTGGGTGGCTTAGTTGGTTAAGTGTCTGCCTTCGGCTCAGGTCATGATCCCCGTGTCCTGGGACAGAGTTCTGCATTGGGCTCCTTTCTTAGCAGGGAGCCTGCTTCTCCCTCTACCTGCTGCTCCCCCTGCTTGTGCGCTCTCTCTCTCTCTGACAAATAAATAAAATCTTAAAAATACAAACAAACTATACATTAGGTTAATCAGGGGAAGTATAATACAAAGAATTGTTAACTATGTTGAAAGAGTAACTCTAAGATATAAAGAAACTCTAGGTGGTACTCTAGAGCTGAGTGTCGAAGTGAGGACATACTTGGAAGGGGTGCAGACCTTGATGAAGAAGGAATGGTTTGGCCACCAGGGAGCAGAGAAGTTCACGGGTTTGGCCTTGCTGGGACTGGTCTGGAGTTGCTGTGCAGACAGTAGGCTACTCTTGAGTGCAGACAGGGAGCAGATGATCAGTACCTAGTGGCTGGGTGTGTAGTGGGAGCCTGGCACCAGTGGAGGCAGAAGACACAGAGGACTTCAGAGCCCACAGGCCACAGAGGGCTTCTAGAGGGACTGACTACTTGGTCTTTGACTCTCTGGGCCACAGGGGCTACATGTAGACTGTGTGGGGCCTTGCCAAGGGAGTCCTGTGCAGCTGCAGGAGTTATATTGCCAGCCCCAGGCTTAGGCTTCAAAGTCACAGGGGGACTGTGTTCTGGGCCTGTGGCTGGGGCAGACTTCACCAGATGTCCACACCCATACTGTCTCCTTCCCAGCCCATGCTGGAAATTGCAGGAAGGGTGCCTTTTGTAACTGTTTATCTTCTTTAACTCAGTTTAATGCCTGACTTCTTGCCTTCATTCTGCTAGCTCCTTCCATGTAAGCCTAGTCTCTTTATACATGGCACTTTATATTTGTTTGCCACTTTCCCTCTCTGCTGGGTGGCAGTGGGATTCAAGGGAACTTCTTTGTCATTGTGGGAGGGACCATTTGGTACATGGTCTCTCTCCTCCTACTGTTGGTTTCTGCTGAGATGGGACTTGCCCTCTACCTCCTTATGGGTTACTGGCTTCTGTTGCTGCTGAATTTGCTATGGTGTCCATGGTCTTGTTGTAGCCTGTGGTTTCCTTAGTACACACAGCATCCACTGACAGTAGATGCTAGTGGTGTCGAATCAGATGGTCTGAAACTTCTATAATAATCAGTGAGAATGTCAAGTCCTCATTGCCCAAGTATATCAGGCTAGTTTTTCTGCTTTACTCCTAGAGCATCTTATTGGCCTGAGTGTGGCATGGGAATGGGGAACTTCCCTACCTGGCTTTCTGTGTCTTTAGGCCTCATCTATTCTTGGATCCTCCAGATCTAGCTAGGGCTTTTTTATTTGTCTCCTCTTTTTCCTCTACCCTCACCAGCTTGGAAAGAGAGGCAGAAACCTATGCCAGTGATCAATTCTTTTCTTCTGGTTTTCCCACCAATGCCCACATGTCCAGTCACATCCTAGCCCCAGTCCTACTTTTAGGGTACTCATGGAGAGCTCTAAACTATTTATTCTGCCCAAATTTAGGATTTACCTATCAAAACATATTTCATCCCAAAGGTGTCTCTACTTAGAATTTATGAAAATCCACTTAGAAGCTCAAAAGATAAAACGTATCAACTAGATAAGCATATAACTGATGGGATCAATGGAAGGTTCTGGGGATGGGGATAAAACTGTATTTCATTATTGTTCAGGCCTTTAATAAGTATCATGCCCTATCGGGAAAGATTTTTAGGGCAAAGAGAGAAAGAAAAACAGATTATGGGCAGGAAAGAATTGGATATAGCTGAAGGAAGAACAGTGAATAACTGTAGGAAAATAATTCAATATGAAGAGATTTTGTGCAGGTGCTTTCTTACAGTTATTTAAACTGAGGTTATGAAGACATAAGTAATGGTATTAACTATATACATGCTAGCAAGAATTGCCTGATAGCAAAATGTAAGCTGATGAATGAGTTAGGAACAGGCCTTTGAGGTCTGCCTCTCATGACTTTTCAGAAAAAGGTTGATTACATTCGTGTTACTCTATCCTCAGATATATCAGAATCAGACTTAGGTATTATTGGTCTTTTGTTTTAACAGTTACCAACTGTTGAATGCTGTTTTTAAAGGAAACCAAATTCTTGGCCTTAATAGCATATATAATTTATATAATTTATTATTAGTTGTCCAGCTATATTAGATGTATTCTCAGAACATTGGTGGGAAGGAATAGTAAGAGGTGAAAACTAGATGCTCAGGAGAAGTTAACTTCCTGGGAACCTGTGGTAGGTGTGGAATTATGGCACATGGCAACTTTCTGAAGCACTTTACTGAATCTAAAACCACAGATTCACCAGCTAGTTCTACCTTTCCAGATTTGGGTCCATGCTAAGGAGTTCCTCAACTCCATTCTATTCTCTTCTGGTTGTCTGTTCTTTCCTTCTCTATAGCTCTTTGAAGCTACTCAGAGAGTTGGACTGCAGTATTTCATTTTGCCACTGGGACCCAGGACCTAATGGTGCATTTGAACCCTAATTTGTTTTTCATTTGAACCCTATCTTAACAATTCCAGATTCTTGGAAAAAAGTAAGAAACTTCAGAGCTCACCTGATTGACCCTGTGTATTTAATAGTTGAAGAAAACTTAGTTTTCAAGTTTAATGACTTGCCCAATGTCACCCAGTTAGTGTGTATTCTTTCTGTAGGATCATACTGCTTTTTTTTTTTTTTTTTAAGTAAAATGAATGGGAAATCCTGGGGGTTAGCAAAGTTGGGTTCCACTCTGGACTCTCTCTGACTCACTGGATGTAGCAAGTTACTTAAGTTGTTTTGTTAAAAAAAAAAAAAAAAGAATGTTAGACAGTTTCTAAATTCCTTCACCATGCTGAGTTCTATGAATTCTCTACTGTATCCAACCTGAAACTGTGAAATTCTTTTTAATCAGGTGATTTGGAAATAGGATTGGAAAATGAAAATTTTCCAGAACCACTTGGGAATTTTCAGGAACCACAGATGATATTTATAAAGTAGTTAGAAGAAATAAATTGAATTTACCAGAGGCCTGGACAAGGAGCAAGAAGGTTGTATTCTTTCCTCTTTTAATAGTGATGAAATTAGTTGTTTGTTTTAGGACAACTCTTTGTTCTCAGTTTCCTCATGAATAAAGTGAGGGCCCAGAAAGTCCCCTCTAGCTCCAAAATTCTGTTGGATCCTTGGTTTGTTCACAGGCCAATCTAAATTATTTGTGTGAAAGTATAGTTGGAAATCAAATTGCTCCTTAATTGACACTATAAATTAAAATTGTTAATGGTGGATCTCAAGTTCCTGTTTGAAGTAATTTGGCTGAAATCGTTCTGGCAGTGACTGAAACAAGCTAGCAACCACTTTCTTGGTTTTATGGAAAGACACCACTGTATTCGTACTTTCTTGCTTCC